AAAATATTGCAAAGGACTATATAGTCAAAAAAACTAGCAGTACTTCGATAGCGTTTCGACATATAAGATATAGAAACATTCTTAAATATGTCCACATACTAATGCTTCCATCAGACTTCGATGGAATTAAAATTGATTATATTTTTAGTATGGCGTAACATATATTTGTTTTCATAATTATACTCTCTCGTTTAGAAAGAACAATCGCTCAACCATAAGTTAACGGACAAGAATTTTTACAACTACATATATTATATAACTTTTCTATAAACCAGTATTTTTCCGAAGGTAGATTGCTTGCGTATGTATGATGTACAGTTATTAGAATTTTAATTAATAGATTATATTAAAGATATGAACTCAATATTAAACGCGGCAAATCTGTATTTAATATATAGTATATTCAAACACCAAAGGAAATTTAGTGCAATATAAAGTAACACTTTTGTGCTACATAACACCACATTTTAAAAGTTAGCAAGAAGTTTTTTTTCGATTTAGAAGAGGCCTAATATTGTAATATTTTATCCATCAAATATATAAAACTGTAGGAGGAGACTAAAATTATTTCTTAAAACTGAGATTATTGAGAATAATTCATATTGCGATTACTTCCATTCATAGTTAATATATGCAGTACGAATTAGATCAAATACTCCGAAATGTATTAGAAGCTAAAATAGAAACGAAATCTTTATTACACTTAAGACAACCATTACATACTCGTATATATTCAGATTACCTAACGAAATTTAGAGAGAGTGCAAATTCAATATAAAAGAGCAAGGATATTGAGAAAAGAAGATCATTGAATGAATACAACAAATTTTAAACATTTATTTTGGACAAGGTTTAGTAGAGTGATTTCTAAAATCCATTTATTCTGTTAATCGATGTTTGATGTTTGATGTTTGATATTGACTTTCTCACTTTCAGTACATATAAGTGCGTTCTAAAAACAATAACATATTGAATTGACCGTGGAATGCGAATATTTTTTAATCAAATTACATCATTTCGTGTTACATTAAAATAAATGATAATATCATCAAATGATCAAAAAAATATATATCTCCTTTCCAAATGAGCAGCCAAAAAATTGAAAATTATACCGAATTCAATGTTTTCGTTTGCGGCCGTGGCCACAGTCATTCTTCAATTTTGGTTTATCAGCAGGGAAATGGTCGAGCATATGCCCAATAACTTTACAGGAATACTCTACAGTATCTTCATTTAAGAGTGACAGTTTTGATAATGGCCCTGCTGAATGGAGTTCACCATAACATATATTATTCTTATTAAAATATAACTTTAATTTTCCGAAGGGAATAGGCGTTTCACTCGTGAGTATATAAAAGTACTTGTTAGTATTTTTTGCCCCCATTGAATACTGCACCTGACACGGTTTTAGCTCGCTCTTCGATTCATTCTTGGTAGCTCCATGATCGTCACTGTCAACGGAAATACCAGCAACTTCCTTGTTTAGATTTACGGAACCACCATGAGCACCGCATGCCGCTACTCCTAGAATCTGATTTTGGCTGGTTTCTGGTTGACCACCTCTTTCCTCCGTTGCTTTGCCATCAGTGTCTTCTGAAACTACTCGTCTTGCTTTCTGCCTAGCTAAAAATTTTTTTAAGTCACACTTATTTTTCTTATTTATTTTCATATTGAGAAGTTGATTTTTACTATTAGAGTTCGAAACAAATTTAAACAAAAAAGTATATTTTTAATAAAAATATGATTTGATTAATGCAAGTAACAAACACATTTCATATTTTGGATGGCCTACTGCTCTATTCGAAAATCTTCAGTTTAAGATTTCCTTTCTAGTTTAAATTATGTAGAAGAGATCTTCGTAAGAGTGCATGAATTATATTTTCCGTGTTTAACATTGGAAATGATACTCTCTACAGAGATTGTCTTTTTTAACTCCATGCTAATAAATTTGTTTTAATAAATTGTGTGTACATATATTTTACATAGATATATTATGAGTCTGTTTAGAGTGTATATAGTAGAAGTAGACTTTGCGAAAAGCTATAGTTGAGATAAAAATTCATGTTAATTAGTTCCTGAAGTGTATCATGGAAACTGAAACAGAAACTTTCTTGATCGCATTATTCTCACAAGTCTTTTTAAAAGGTAATTTAACATATCGCATAACCTCTTCAAAAGAGGTACAACTCGAAATTCGTCAGTTTTGAGTTAGGGTATGGAATTTGCTTATATCTACCAATACGCAAGATTCCACTTTGTTTTTATTATTGCAAATCGTCGAAAAGTTATATCTCTCTTGTTGTTAGGAGTGATACTACACTGCAAAACATTTATCGCGTTTTTGGAAAGTTGATGAATTTCGAGTTGAGCCTCTTTTGAAAAGGGTAATATGTAAATACGTATGTAAATACGTATATATATATGTAAATATATATGTATATGTAAGTACGTAAATGGTCAGCTAAATATGGTCAGCTAAATATGGTCAGCTAAATATTTAATTAAAGTTACAACAATAAAATATAAGAACGGAATGAATTTCTTAATTAGTTTATAGTCCGTATATAATTTGGACTGCAAGTGCTAAGCTTAAAAATCGTGCCTGTCAAATTAGAAACGGACTTTATATACGCATTAAGAAATTCAATTATTTTCTAAGACCACTGATGAAGAGTACTTCGCAATACTCGAAATAACGTTTTATAGTCAGCCAAATTTTAATAAAATTAATAAATTTTTGTTCCTGAATTTTCTGTGCTATTCGAATCCATCTAACTTTTAAACAGTTTCTTTTTGTCATAAAGACTTGGCACTCTCTGCAAGAAAAAATTAGCATTGAAAACAACAGTTTAATATTAAGAATCTAGTTTCTTTCGTCAAAACGGGCGTTAATATATGAAAATATAATTTAACTACTGAAGAATAAAATATGGCAACACCGCTTAGGAACCTGATGTACTCAATTTTCCTCTGCAAGTATGTTAACCACACTATGTCATAATCCTAAAAAGTTGATATGTAAAAATATAATTTAACCACTGAAGCATAAAATATGGCAACACCGCTTAGGATCCTGACCTTGTCAACTTTCCTTTGCAAGTATGTTAACTCGTCTATTACCATGCTATATCTTCTTTCGTCAAAACGGGCGTTAAAAATCAAGTTAATATGTAAAAATTTAATTTAGCTGCTGAAGCATACAATATGGCAACACCGCTTAGGAACCTGACCTTTTGAACATTCCGTTGCAAGTATGTTGCAAGTACGTCTATTACCACTCTATACCATATAGCTTATAGCAATGTAGCAATAATTTTTGGAGTAGATAATAAAAGGATTGTTAGTAAATACACATAAAAAAAATTATATGTCTGCTGCAACAGGTAATCTGGCAACACTGCCTAGAAACCTGCAGTTGTTACTTTTAAATATTTCAATAATAATTTTCATTTAATTTCATTTCTTTTATTATTAATTTATTCTAAGTGACATATGTCCAATTTAAACATCAAAAGTAAATATGCAATAAATTATTCCTACTGATGCTTTTACACAAAAAGGGCTTCTTCATACGTTAAGCGCACAAACAAATGCAAAATAAATTTTTCATTAATAATTCATAAATTTTCATTGTTGCACTTTTAGAGCTTCGCAAATATTCGCATTTTACTGCTGAGACTTCTATAAAAAAAAGAAAACGCACTGCTTTATCACTTCTATTGCTCACTAGTCCTATTGGTGCTTCTGTTGCTGCTTCTGCTGCTGTTGCTGTTGTTGTTGTTGTTGTTGTTGTTGTTGTGAAAATACTTAAATTAAAATTGAGTGTCATCATAAACAAAGAAGAAGATATTTTCAACGCAAATTGACAAATAGCGTTGCCACTTTATTTACTGTTTTTTTGATTTGCAAAAATAAATAAGAACGTAAAGACTTTTGCCGCTTTAAGCTTTTTACAGCAACAACAAGCAGTGAAAAAGTAACAACAACAAAATTCAACTACTACGCTATGTGAGAAAAAAAAAAAAGAAAAACAAATATTTTTAACTGCGCATGATTCAACAGTGAAGACAGCTGTTCTTCTGCGTTAAAGAAGCTTTCACTATTGTCAGTTTTATGATAGTGTCATCAACACAAAAGCACAAAAGCACAAAAAAAGTTCAAACAGGTGAAATGAAAGCTGCTTCAATTTGTTTAGTAATGTTGAGCAATTGCAAGTGGATGGTGTTTGTGTTGTGGCACCGCAAAGCGCGCTAATGCCGTTGTTATTATTGTTTTTGTTGTTTATCATACCACATGGTTGACTGCATTAAAAATAATGCTTAGGGTGGCAGACAAAACGTCGCTTGGAGGCATGAATAATATAAACACAAAAATAATAAACAAAAAAAAAAAAATACTGTGTAGAATTGAATAAAATTTCACACAGAGAACCACTGAAATCAAAAGGCATTTATTAGCCATAAAACGATGCACGATTTTGGTATAAAAAAATATAAAAAATATATTAAAAAAGTTATAAATTAACATAATATACAAATAAGTAATAAAAATACCAAATTTGGAAGGTTGCAGGCAAAACTCAGTGACGGGTTTAAAGTTCTTAAGGAATTTAAAAAAAAAATGTAAAAATATAATTTTAAAGAAATTAAAAATAATAATATTAATTATAAAGCTTAATTGTTGTTATTGAAAGAACAGCAATTAATACAAAAAAATAAAAAAAAACTTCAAACAAAAATTAAAAACAAAAAACTTTTTTTTTAAATATATATGTATATATATTTACTTGTATATTGAAATGTTTAATTTAATAAAATTTGCAAAAAAATAATTCAAATAAATAAATAAAACTTTAGTCATCTCATAAACTATTTTTTTAAAACAAAATATTAAACTGAAGTTTAATTAAAATAATATAATTGTGTTATATTGGATTTACTATAATCATTTGAATTATAAAATATTAAATATTTAAATAAAAACAATATGATAAATAAATTTCGAATCAAACTTTCCAAGTTCAATAAATAATTTTAATGTGTTTATAATATTATTTGTTGGTGTAAATCCATAATTGGAAACGTGCCATATCTGCTCTAGAGAAGAACTGTAAAATTTTTGTGCATTACCCAAAAATTCAATGCCACGGCAACCAATGGCAACTGTAAGGTATATATGGGTTTGACCGAAAATGTTACAGTGATATATTGTTTTAGTAATAATATAACGATGCGAAATTAAATTATTTAATAGCTATTTAATGAAAAAAATTTGAAAAAATGATATTCGGTTAAACGGAAACAACAAATATTATGAAAAGATAGGTTGGATTTGGGTAAAATGGAAGTCGATCTAGTTGATCAATTCACTTAGGTAAATCACTTACTGGTGAATTACTTACTGATTCATTATAGCAGCTAAGACGGAACTTTAATAAAGCGCAGGATATCTTTAATCTTAGATCTCGACACCCACGGGTGAGAGTGAAAGTTATGTTTACCTCAAAGGTATCACAACATTTTTACTTTCTTTATTTCTCTAGAACTTATAACCACACTAACAAGATGGAATTCTCAGGTATTAACCAAGATAATCTTGGATCAAATTAAACACTTTTTTTGTTCCTCTTGTAAAACTGAGTAGATGTCTTGATTTTTTCCTATAAAGTATCGACCACATAGGCTTAGATGTTAAATAAATATGTTCACAAAATAGCGGAGTTGTAGAGGAAAGCTCTTCTCTAGTTCTGCAGAGTTAAAGAATTGTTATATATTTTTTTGCTAGTAGTGTTAAATATCAAAGAGGATAAAGAGGCGTTAAAGAGGCGACCAAGCCATACGTGATTTGGTGGGCTTCTTCGTTTTTCTCCAACAAAAAAATTTTCTAAATTTTGTTTTGGCCAAAATTGTTTAGATTATGTTTCATTGGTTTCATAGATATTAATTGGTCGTAAACAGCAATCAATTTGTCACCATTGAATATTATTGTTAGACTATGCAAAAGACTGTGTTTATGTAAACAATCTCTATGTAAACAAGCTCTAAAGCTATACCTGAACTATCCGCAGGTATATGCAGACAACGTATTGAAAGTTAACTCAAAAGAAACTAGCACTATAAGATGTCCATAGAAAAATGTCTTAAATCACTTCTTATTATAAGATCTAAACAATGTCCTACAAAAAATTTAGATCAAAATTTAAATCACAAGTTTATTTACCACAACAAGTTAATCCTATATTATTATAATCCTGTAAATAATAAGATTTCTAAGAATATCGCATTTTAGTTTTTTATTGAATTTACATTTCATGGAACCAGTAGAAGCATATTAAATAAATTTTTCAATTTATATTGAAATTCTGAAATGGATATCTTTAGTATAAACTCTAATTCTTTGACGATCGAAAAATAGAAAAGAAATTGTTACTTTAGTTTTTTCAAAATACCATTTATTGAGAAGTTTAAACATTTGTAACTATGAAAACTGTAATAAGATTAACATTGAATTCGCAATATTGCCTTTTACCAATTTTTTATTGATATATGCTTTGTGAACCCTCTTCCATTGAAATGTTTGACAGCTCACTTTTTCAGAGAAACTTCCGGATACTTTTTAAACGCAGATATTCACATTTATTCTGACAAGACAATACGACCACCGATGCTTAACGTTCATATTTAACACATAATTTAATACAAAATAATTTATAGAGTATATAGAGCAATTTTTTCACTCTCAACATAACTGCGGAGTCCATTCTCTGATAGGATATAACTACACCGCTCCATTATAGATTATTATTAGCAGAACAATATATTAAAACAACAGAGCTAATACATTCTCGATATATATATAGACTATAAAATTCAAATATATTAGAATGCTAAATTAATGTATTAATGTGCTACGTGAAACCACTAAAACTAATTTATGCGTAGATAGAGATTGTAAATTGCAGTTTTATTTGGTTTTCCTTTTTTATGTATTTTTTTTAATAAAAAATAAAAATCAATGTTTTATATTGGGTTATACGATGTAAGACCTATATTTAAACAGTACGGCTAATGTGGATATTTTTACAGCCCTTAAACACAATAAAGGTTTAAATTAACCACTACTGTCTTTATCGAGGTAATATTTGTTTGATTTCGCGATAAATCATCAAGAAGTCATCAAAATGCTGTTAGACAGTGCATATTCATGAATGAATTAAGACTTTTCCCTTTATACAACTTCTTTATCGATCTACAAAGAGCTGTAATTTGTGCTTAAGACAACCTTTCCGAAAATTCATAATAAATTAAAATCATGTATTTATTTTCAAAAATTATTTTTTTTGTTCAACGAAAAAAATTAAAAATACAGTACAATTGAAAGTTGAGGTTGTATTAAAGGAAGCTCTATTAGAAGGTCAACTATATTGTGGTAAATGCATATAAAATAAACTAGTGATTCAGATTTTGACCAAGTTTTTATTATTGTATATTGTTTAGACCTTAACATAAAAAAGGAAATAATATTATTTTATAAATATCTAACAGTACTAGTTTCTGCTGAGTTGACTTCGATGACTTGTCCGCACAGACCTGACGATAGCTCGGCTATAGCTTGTGAGTTTGAAGATTGTTTACATTAACACGGTCTTTTGCCTGATTTGAGAAAAGAATTTAATGGTTATAAATCGCTTGCTCTTTCTGATCAATTCATATCTTCAAAACATAGTATACATTTCCAAAAAATTTTATGAAAAGAACTTAGAGAACTTAAAACAGAAATTAAGAACACATTTTCGAACAATGAACCTTAAACGAATATTAATACTCCTTTCAGTTTTATGTTTCCTTCTGTACGATTAAGCATTTGTTATATATTAATAAGTAACAATTATTTTTGGATTTACTAGTTTTTTATTGATTCCAAGCGTTTAAGAAACTAAGTAATTCTCTGAATGTAGTGTAATGTGTAGCAACTTATACCTTGTAATTATATCTTCCACATCAATATCTTCAATTGCAATTCTCGAAAGTGACTGCCATATAACGACCACAATTGATAGTTTGTGTTTGAATTATTTTGAATAATGTATGGACTTAAAATATCTCTAGACTAACAAACCGCATCTCACACCATGAACTGACTTTTTGTGACTATAATAATCTTTCATTAGTTACTTGTGGATTATTATCGAAGCAATGATATATCCATCAAGCGAAAAATAAGCTTCATTATTGAAAAAAATTTCTCACACCATGCACTGACTTTTTGTGACTATAATGATCTTTTATTAGTTACTTGTGGATTTTTATCAAAGCGATGGTATATCCATCAAGCTAAAAATAAGCTTTATTATTGAAAAGGAAGTGATATGAAATATATCTACTTCAACATAACAATTTCTATAGTAAGTTTTAACAATATAAACACGTTCAGCGGTTGTTAAACTAATTTCGTTCTTTAATGGTAACTTTTATAGTAAACATATAAAGCCCTGGCAAGGAGTTTTGTTTCTAAATAAATCACTGAAACAGTGCTACCACACTAGAACTAGAAAATGAATAACCTTTTGCAATAGACATTTTAAAATATATATTCTACATAAAGAGAATTCAATTCGATTACCCTCTTCATACATAACCCTCAACATTATTCTATAGTTGCTGGCGTGCTCTCGAAGGTATTTTTTGTTTTTTTACCATTTCTTTAATAACCAATAATTTTAGCTTAAATTACTTGATACTTGGGTACTATAACTTAAATTGCCCCCGTGTTTATATTAGAGCTCAGCATGCAAACAACATTAAACAAAAATGGACATTTCCACAAACATTTTCCCTAAACTCAACTCCTTCCCCTTTAGAAAAAAAAAAAATTCGGAATTTATAACCACAAGTAATTCCTACCGGCATTGCTCTATGACAGTCGTAAACACTATCACAAATTCTCCCCATTCTCCCAAACGCTTAGCAAGACATGCATTCACCAATTCAATGAAATACTTCATTTTAAGGGTCTCGTTAATTTGTTTTTGTTGGGTTTTCTCATTTCCATTTATTTCATTAAATCAATAAATTGATTTTTGATTTTATTGTATTTGTTATATGCTTACTAATATTGTTGTTATTGTTGTTGTTAGTGCTGCTATTGTTGCCTATCTGCCTATACCGAAAGACAAGCATTTCATAATTGAACATTCGTTTTGGTTCTGCTTTACTGCAACCTGCTCCACTGCACTCCCAACCGTCAATCATAATTTTTAGTGAAACCACGTCAGCGGCAAATTTTCTGCCAAACTACTAACACACACACACATAAGTACACAAAAATATAACGAGCTATATGTGTCTGTCTGTCTGTCCGTTTAATCTGTTTTTGCTATTGTTAATGTTTTGTTGTTGTTTTGGTTTTTGTTTTTTGGTATTTGCTCAATGCATAATTTGCCTTTACATGCCAACCAAGTTCGAGTGCATCTTTTGTTTTAATTTTAAATTTGCTGCAATTTTCCTTTGTCTTTTATTTCCTTTGATTTTTGTTTTTTAATTATAAATTTGGCAAAGGAAATAGAAAAAAATTTCTTTTTTTTTTTTGTTAAATGCCTTAGGGTTTGTATGAACTTTTGGTTGCTTTACGTGTACTTCGAATATTCATTTATTTTTCAGGGGCACATTGCGATGCTCTTCAGTGACATTTGTTTATCTCAAATGACAGTATATCCACTTAATTTCCTTTTAATAATTTTTTCTTGACTTTATTTTTTCATTACGTTTTTACTTTGTAACCACGATTCGTTGAAAAATAAGGCAGGGAAAAATGTTTTTTTAAGTTAAAATAAGTTTATATATATTTTTTTTAATGAAAATTAAAATTAAAGTTTTTTAACTAATTTGTCACTAATTTTTTAAATTATTATTATTGTTATAAGGTTATTTGTTTATTATTAATATTCTTCCACCTGAACATATGTTAAATTATTTATTAATTTATTCAAAAAAATTTACAAATAATATAGTTCTAAAAAAAATTTACTTTAAGTAGAACTAAATGATTGCTTAATTAAAAATAATTATAATTAGAAATAAGAAATAATTAATATATTTGGTGATAAATTTTTTTTTAGTATTTTAGTATTTTTAGTAATTTTAGTAAGAAATGCATATTAAGGTCGTGTG